TAGACAGCAACACACTGAGAGCAGGGAATTTCAACACCCCACTGTTAAAAATGGACAGATCTTCCAAACAAAACATTAATAAAGATACTGTGCAGCTGAATGACACACTGAATCAAAGAGACTTAACTGATATATATAGAACCTTACATCCCAAAGAAGCAAAACACACATTCTTTTTAAATGCTCATGGAAGTTTTTCAAAGATAGACCACATGATAGGACACAAAGCAAGCCTCAGCAAATTCAGGAAAATTGAAATAATACCAAACTTTTTCCCAGACCACAAGGGCTTGAAACTGGAAATCAACCTCAAAGAGAAGCTTCAAGAACTTGAAAACTCATGGAGAGTGAACAGTAGACTATTAAACAATGAATGGGTCAATAATGAGATAAGAGAAGAAATCAAAAAATTTCTGGAAACAAATGAAAATGAACATACAACAGTCCAAAACCTATGGGACACTGCAAAGGCAGTCTTGAGAGGGAAGTTCATAGCAATACAGGCTTACGTAAAAAAGATAGAAACATTTCAAATAAAAGACCTAACACTACAACTTCAAGAACTGGAGAAACAACAACAAAGAAATCCCAGAGCACGTAGAAGGAAGGAAATAGTCAAGATTAGAGCAGAACTGAATGACATAGAGACAAAAAGAACAATTCAAAGGATCAACCAATGCAGAAGCTGGTTCTAGGAAAGATAAATAAAATCGACAAGCCTTTAAGCCGACTCATCAAGGAAAAAAGGCAGAGGACCCAAATTAATAATATCAGAAATGAAAGAGGAGAAATAACAATTCATACCACAGAAATACAAAGGATTGTCCAAAACTACGATGAACAATTATATGCCAAGAAATTTGAAAACCTGGATGAAATGGACAAATTTTTAGAAAAGTATAATCTTCCAACACTGAAGGAGGAAGAAAGCTTGAACAGACCGATAACAGGTGGGGAAATTGAAGCAGTAATCAAGAAACTCCTGGCACACAGCAGCCCAGGGCCGGACGGTTTCACAGGAGAATTTTACAAAACATTTAAGGAAGAGTTAACCCCTGTCTTTCTCAGACTGATCCAAAAAATCCAAGAGGAAGGAAGACTTCCCAGACTCTTTTGGTGAGGGCAGCATCACCCTAATCCCAATTTCGCTGATAAACATAGATGCTAAAATCCTCAACAAAATATTGGCAAACCACATCCAGCAATACATTAGAAAGATTATCCACCATGATCAAGTAGGATTCATCCCAGGGATGCAGGGATGGTTCAATATACACAAGTCAATAAACGTAATACATCACATAAGTAAAAGAAAAGACAAAAGCCACATGATCATCTCGATAGATGCAGAAAAAGCATCCGATAAGGTACAGCACCCATTTATGATCAAAACACTTAGCAAAGTGTGAATAAATGGGGCATTCCTCAACGTAATACAGGCCATATATGAAAAACCTACAGCCAACATCATATTCAACAGGCAAAAACTAAAAGCTTTCCCACTAAGATTGGGAACACGACAAGGATGTCCGCTGTCACCGCTTCTTTTCAACATCGTATTGGAAGTCCTAGCCACAGCAGTCAGACAAGAAAAAGAAATAAAAGGCATCCAAATAGGAAAGGAGGAAGTAAAGCTATCATTGTTTGCAGATGACATGATAGTGTACATAGAAAACCCTGCAGACTCTGCCAAAAAACTCCTCAACCTAATGAGTGATTTGGCAAACCAATAGGATACAAAGTCAATATTCAGAAATCAAAGGCATTTTTGTACACCAGCAATGAAATAGAAGAAGAAGAAATCAGAAAAAAAATACCATTTGATAGAGCAACAAGAAAAATAAAGTACCTAAGAATAAATTTAACCAAAGAGGCCAAAGACCTGTACACAGAAAACTATACAACATTGAAGAAAGAAATTAAGGAAGACACAAATAAATGGAAGCATATACCATGCTCATGGATTGCAAGAATTGATATCATCAAAATGTCCATACTCCTCAAAGCAATTTATAGATTCAACGCAATCCCTATTAAGATACCAATGACATATTTCACAGAAATAGAACAGACATTTCAAAAATTTATATGGAACCATAAACGACCCTGAATAGCCACAGCAATTTTCAGAAAGAAAAACAAAGTAGGAGGGATCACAATACCGGACATCAAACTCTACTACAAAGCCACTATATTCAAAACAATCTGGTACTGGCACAAGAACAGATCCATAGACCAGTGGAACAGAATAGAAAGCTCAGAAATAAGCCCAGGTCTATATGGGCATCTAATATTTGACAAAGAGGGCAGAAGCATAAAATGGAGCAATAATAGCCTCTTCAACAAATGGTATTGGGAGAGCTGGACAGCTACATCAAAAAATTGAAATTGGATCATCAGCTGACACCATTCACAAAAATAAACTCAAGATGGATAAAAGACTTAAATATAAGTCGCAACACCATAAAAGTCCTAGAGGAGAACATTGGCAGGAAACTCTCAGATATCCCATGCAGCGATTTTTTCACTGATATGTCTCCTCAAGCAAGGGACATAAAGGAAAGAATAAATAAGTGGGACCTCATCAAAATAAGAAGCTTCCGCACCGTTAAAGAAAGCATCAGCAAAATGAAAAGGGAGCCCACCGTATGGGAAAATATATTTGCTAATGATACATCAGATAGAGGTTTGATCTCCAAGATATATAAAGAATTCACTCGACTCCACTCCAAGAAGACAAACAATCCAATCAAAAAATGGGCAAAGGAGCTGGGCAGATGCTTTTCCAAGGAGGAGATACAGAGGGCCCAGAGACATTTGAAAGGATGCTTGGCATCACTAGCCATCAGAGAAATGCAGATCAAAACCACCATGAGGTACCACCTCACACTGGTCAGAATGGCCATCATAAACAGATCAACAAACAACAGCTGCTGGCGAGGCTGTGGAAAAAAGGGAACACTAGAATACTGTTGGTGGGAATGCAGACTGGTGCAGCCATTGTGGAAAGCAGTGTGGAATTTCCTCAAAAAGCTTAAAATGGAACTGCTTTTTGATCCAGTGATTCCCCTGCTGGGACTATACCCTAAGAACACCAAAACGCCAATTCAAAAGAACCTGTGCACCCCAATGTTCATAGCAGCACAATTTACAAGAGCCAAGTGTTGGAAGCAACCTAAATGCCCATCAGTAGATGACTGGATCAAAAACCTATGGTACATTTACACAATGGATTGCTACACAGCAAAAAGAAAAAAAGAACTACTAAACTCTGCGACAGCATGGATGGAACTGGAGAGCATTATGCTAAGCGAAATCAGCCAGGGGCCGAAAGACAAATACCATATGATCTCACCTGTAAGTGGAACCTAACCAATACAAAGATGCAAGGAAAATAAGACCAGCAACACTGAAAGGAAAAGAAACCACAGAGACTAGGGAAAGAGGGAGGGGTGGGCGGGGGAAAAGGAAGGAAAGGGGAAAGTCAAGGAACATATAGCAAGGTCTCATCAACAAAACCAAAGGGGAAGAGTTGAGGGAGGGCCGGATGGGGCAAGGGAAGGTGGTGGGGGGGTAGGCAGAGACAAATGTATTTGAAAAAATAAATTAATTAATTAAAAGAATATAATAGTACTTTTATACAAAAGTTTCAAGGAAATAAAAAAATAAAAATACTTTTCAATATATTCTTGATATTAAAAACTGTCAGGTACACAGCATAAATAAAAACTCGCTCTGAACTATTTATAAACAATGATAAAAAAGCAACTTAAGGGTAATATATGCAATTAAATTTAAAGAAGGAAAAACAAAATGATTATTGAAGTTTTATTTTAGAAATGCAAGATTGGTTTTAACATTTGAAAGAAACAAAGGCACTTCATAAACATCATAGAGAGAAATTATTGATCATTTGAAATAATAAAAATAATAAAAATGTAACATCAATTGGTTATAAAACCTATTAGATAACAGTAATATTATCAAATTGTTTTAACATGTGAAAGTATAATGAACACACTTAAAACAAACTTCATAGTTAAGTTTGAAATGTTTAAATATTTTCCCCTAAAATAGAGAAGGATACATATAGAACTTTTACTGTCTGTACTATCCAACATTAGAAATAAAACCCTAGCCTGTGGAACTAAGAAAACAAAATAATTGTACCAGGGAAAAAGAAATAAAATAACTGTTTAGATAAACTATTCAAGAGAATACATGTTTGAAATGATAGAACTTATACATAAAAATCAATATGGAAGCCTCAATTATATTTATTTAAAGCAGCAAAAATTATTAAAAAAATTTTTAATAACTATGTCATTTACAAAATCATGACTATGAAACACTCATATTTATTTAAGACTTTAATATAGGAAAATTTAAAAATATAGTAAAGAAAACTTAATACACAGTAAGATAAAGCATGATTTGATTGGAAGAATCAATATTGTAAAATGCTTAATATTTATAAATTACTTAAAGTTTAAATGCAATCCCAAGCCTGACCCCAAGTATTGTTTTAAAATTCTTGCTGAGGTGTAGTTTACAAAGCATAAAATTCATGCATTTAGAGTGTGCATATCAATGATTTTAAGTGTATTCACAGAGTCTTGCAGCCATCACCAGTGTCAAAATTTGGCAAGTTTTCAGCCCCTAAAAGAAGCAATGAACTAATTAGCAGTCATTTTCTGTCCTCACATACCCTCAGCCCTCTGTGGGTTTGCCTATTCTTGATATTTCATTTAAATGAACTCACCCAACATGTGATCTTTTAGAAAAGTTGAATATCACAAATATAATTGTGAGTGAAAAATGCCAGACTCTAAAAGAATGGTACCTGTACCTTTGGGTGTGTATATTATTTTCCAATACTGGTTACAGAATTTTTTCATTATTAGAACTAATATTTCATTTGAAGACTTATGCAATCATAATATTATTTCCATTTCATGAAAATAGTTACCTAGCAGAATCCAAATTCAAGTGTTTTAACACTAAAACTTATGCTTGCAAATATATATTTTTGGAGATTCACAACAACTTGATGTGAGGCCAAATGTGAGTAGCGTAACACAGTTACTGTTACCAGAAGATGAATCTTCTATCCTGTAATAGAGAAAAATGCATAATTTTATCCATACATTGTATGAGGGCAATCCCTGAGACAAAAGAAAACCCAAAACAACAACAAAAAACAAAAAACAAAACCCAACTAGGTAGTCATTCTTAATATTTACATCAACATTTCATTAACTTTGAACATCATTCTTATAATTCAAATTAAACAAATGTATTAATAAAACTCTTCTGAATTGTTCTCTTTTATGCTTTCCTTTTATATAGCACTGAAAAAAAGAAAAAAACTCACTCTAGTGTGGGAGTTGACCCATGTATTGACACCCATGGATGATCACTGCTTCTACGAAAAACTCCAATCCATGATGAATGTGATACGGAGCTCAGAAATTTCTACCCCAAAATAAATAAAGAAATTATTTAAATAATCATTATGAAAGTTTGCATTATATTTTTTAAGATGCAAGTAAAGTATTGTTTCATAGAATCCTTCATTTAGAGAACAAAATGAGAGTGTTGGATCCTAATCTAACACGGAAGATAATATTAGGACTCTTACTACAGATATATTAAAACCAGTTTTCATACTGTCAAAAATTTCTAGCAACATTTATACACTTGATTTAAAATTAACTCTTAAACATTTATGCATTATAGTTTCATTTTTTCTTTTAGGTTAATAAGGAAAATTCTGCTAGATATCTTTTAGTTGTTACCCACGTTGACAAATCTAACATAGCAAGGCTTTAAATAAGTTTTTGAACACTTACAAAATGTATTTTATACCATAACTAAATCAATATAGTTTTCTACTCTTTCTCAGAGATCTGTTTTTTAAAAAATAAGGGGATTGAAATGAAGAAGATAAAGGGGTGGATGGTGGCATAGGTCAATACAGCTTGCCTCCTCACACAACCACGTAAAAATTACAACTAGGTTACAGAAAACCAATCACTCAGAACCATCAGAAATCAACTTGAATGGAAGCCTGACAACTACAGAATTAAAGAAACCACATCCATCCAGACTGGTAGGAGGGGTGGAGATGCAGAGCAGACTAATGCCACATCCACATGTGGTAGATAAAAACTCTGGAGGGATGTCTCAGGAGCAAGGAGTCTCAAGACCCACACCAGGGCCCCCAGTTTAGGGTTCCAGTACCAGGCAGGTCAGGTGAGTCCCTATAACTTCTGGCTGCAAAAACCACCAGAAATTGAGTCAGTAGAGAAACTTCTGGAGTCCTAAGCAGTTCCCCTTAGAGAACCCACACACAGACTCACTCTCATGGAGCTCCTGCACTAAGGTAGTGGCTCTAAATGCACTGAGAGCATGCAGGTGGGACTGGAACATCTGGAATTAAGGCAAGAACTGGGGGATAGCTTTCTCCCAGGAAGAAAGGTGGGCAGAGCTACAGAACCAGAAGGTGAGTGCTATATCTGAGACTCCATCAACCTAGCTAATAATCTTTGCCTGGCTCTGGAGATCATCTGAGGCTCCATCCCACTCAACTTACAGCTATTAACAGTGGCTCTTCCATATGAATGCCTGGACTTGGCCCATGCTTCACAACTTCCAAATTCCTTTCAAACAAGCAATAGCTGGCCTCAGTGATCCTGCAGCTTCCCACTTCCCTCTGCCCTGTACCATACCTCTTGACAAGTATCCTTAGGCACTACACTAGCAACAGCCAACTAAAGTTCTCAGCTTGGCTTTGCATGGGAACCTCCACTCCCAGCACAGGTAACAACCATTTCAGATTATTCTATAGCTCAGGCAGTGTGTCCCTGGACAGAGCAGAGGTGGGGACTGACCTTGGCCTGTACCACCTGGGAAACCTCAAGACCTGTGCACCCAGTAAACAGCTACAGACCACATCAGAGTACCACCAACCTGTCCGTGCACTGCAGATCCTCCACAGAAGGTGGAGGTTGGTGGTCAGTGGTCATAGCCAATCCTTGCAACTGACTGCACTGGGTAAATCCTTCTCATTGACCTGCCAACAGCAACCAAGGAGCAACTACAAGAGGAGGGTATGAAGAGCACAACTCGAGCACCCAGCTTAGGTGATAGGGAAGGCTATGCCACTGGACTCAACAGGACACATACTGCATTAGGTCACACTACCAAGACATGGAGTCAAGTGGCTCTATCTATGTAATACATAGAAACAAACATAAGGAGGCTGCCAAAATGAAGAGACAAAGAAACATGGCCCAAACGAAAGAACAGGTCAAAACTCCAGAAAAAGAACTAAACAAAATGGAGATAAGCAATCTATCAGATGCAGAGTTCAAAACACTGGTTATAAGGACGCTCAAGGAATGCAGTGAGGACCTCAACAGCATAAATAGATCCAGTCAGAAATAAAGTATACATAATTGAAAGAAAGAGCAATTTATAGGGAAACAACAGCAGAGTCAGTGAAGCCAAGAATCAAATCAATGACTTGGAACATAAGGAAGCAAAAGACAACCACACAGAACCAGAAAAAGGAAGAAAAATTCAAGAAAATGAGGTAGTATAATCAGCTTCGGGGACAAAATTCAAGCATTCCAACATTCACATCATAGGGTTGCCAGGAGAAGAGAAAGAGCAAGAAATTGGAACTCTATTTGAAAAAATAATGAAATAAGTCTTCCTTAATTTCGTGAAGAAATTAGACATGCTAGTCCAGGAAGCAGAGAGAATCCCAATTATGATGGGTGCAAAGATGCCGACCCTAAGACACATTACAATTAAAATGCCAAAAGTTAAATATCAAGAGAGGATCTCAAAAGCAGCAAGAAATAAGCAGTTAGTTACTTACAGGGGAGTACCCATAAGACTGTCAGCAAACTTCTCAAAAGAAACTTTGCAGGCTACAAGGGATTGGCAAGAAATAATCAAAGTCATGAAAAGCAGAGACCTACAGCCAGGACTGCTTTACCCAGCAAAGATATCATTTACAATGGAAGAGTAGATAAACAGTTTCCCAGACAAAAAAAAAAAAAAAAAGAAACTAAAGGATTTCATCATCATCAAACCAATATTATGTGAAATGTTAAAGGGACTTATTTAGGAAACTGAAGATCAAAACTATGAACAATGAAACGACTACACACACACACACACACACACACACATCTCAAAATTGAATCTGAAAAAGAAAGTAAGCGAACAAGAGCAAAGAATCATGGTTACAGAGAGCATTCTGATGGTTGCCAGAATAGAAGGTGGCGGAGGGGAATGGTAGAAGAAGTGAGAAGATGAAGCAATACAAATTGGTAGTGACAGAATAGCCATGGGGAAGTACAGTACAGTATAGGAAATGATGTAACCAAAGAATGTATACGCATGACCCATGGACATGAACAATGGTGAGGGGATAACCTGAGCAGGTGTTCGGGCTCAGTGAAGGGAGGCAAAGGGGATAAAATTAGGACAACTCTAATAGCACAATCAATAAAATATAATTGAGAAAGAAAATAAAGGATACTAAAACTAAAAAATTGTTTTTTGGGGTCCTGCACCATTCTTTAACCAGATAAGCCTTGAATTGACCTGTTTCTGTGTTGGTGAATCTAATGGTCCAAATGCCAGAGACTCATTTTTATGACGACTACAACTATGAATTCTGGAACTAATGAAAAACACAACTCAATGAGAACTGTGAAAGAGAGAAAGAAAAAAGAAAATAGTTCGGTATACCAGGATTAGGGAAAAAACAAAATTACAGGGTATCTTATATTCCCACCCAACTGAAAGTGACTTAGGCCTGATGCTTCCATACCCTACCCAGCAATAGGAGGTGACTCAAGGAAGCCATTCTTCCTCTGCTGTGCAGATGGAATCCTGCCCAGCGGCAGCAGGCAGGCCTACAGGGAGGTCCATCAGGGCACCTGTTAACAAAAGTAAGCAGAGCAAGTGCTTCTCCTTTCCTTAAGAGAAACCAGGGTAGGCGGGTTGGAGGTGGGACCAGCAAAGGGGATTTTATGATTAAAAGTAATGGACTCAGAAGAGCTATTTATCCCTGAGAGTGTGAGACTCACATTCCCAATGAAACACACCAGATAGATGGATTTTAAAAGGTTACATTCACATAACTCAGCAGTGACAATTAACAAGCAGCAGACAATTGCAATATAGATAGTATGCAAAAATAGCATATTGGAGTGAAAAGAGACAGGAAGAAAAATGTATATTGTATGATTTCATTTCTATGAGGTTCCAAAACAAGCAAGGAGACGGTATAATACTAAAAGTCAGCCCAGTGGGTAAGTGGCGAGGGAGGAGAAGGGGTGAGAGAATGAAGACACAGGAGCAGGGCTGGGGGACCGCCAGCTCCATCCTGTGACATGATCTGTCATCACATGGTTCGATCCCCTGCGTCATCAACCTGCTCAGTTATTCCTTGATATAAGGTAAAATTAAATGTCAAAGTTTATTTTGAAAACCAAGCAAGTATAGAAGGACAGTTCCTTATGAAATGCAAATGTGCGTTACTGGTATACAGTATGACAAAATATTAAAAAGTCAAACAATAGAATATTACACAGACTTTATGTAGCTACAAATATGTACAAGCATATGAATAAATGCTACAAGTATAATAGTGACTGAAAGAAGCCATTAATAAAGTGTATGAAATGTTTGCTATCTTACCCTTTCTTCTTCATTATCTATATAGAGCAGGCTGGAGTTCTTAGAAGCACAGGCCTTCAAACTCTCATTCCATGCCTTCTTTTCAGTACTAATGTAATAGCAGTTGTTGGAATATGTAAACCACTCTGGTGGACAAGGACCACAAGGATACACTGAAGAAAGATTATGAATTATTACCCAATAACAACTTGAAGTTTAAAAATGGAAATTAACTTACATAATTGCACAAGTATAAACATATATGTAAATAATATATCTGTGTATAGGCTTGTGCATGCTCATATACACTCACACAGAAGAATCTACCCCTCACTCCCTAATTTATGTGCCTTTATAAAGCAAACACAGAAATAAAAAATAGTCACTCTGTACATGTCCAAGCGTCAATGAATATAACTACTTCTTAAGAACAGTAAAATTACTTATCTCTCGTCATATTATAACACAGGGAAGTTTCAGCCTATTGGAAATAATAGGTATGGTGATTTTAAATGAATATTTATGTATTTGGATAAGAAAAAACACTCTTTTATAATTATTAGCTTTGAACATATATAACCTATTTTATAATTCATGTTCCCCACCAAGAACCTATTATCATTTTTCTCTAGCCTAAGATGATAGGTACAAAACATAAACTATGGAAGTATTAGAACTTTGAAAATTATGTACCTTTCTGGATCTTTTGTGCCACGGAATAACTGTTCTGCTTTGGTATCATAGTAGCTAAAAAAATTAAAGTAATTCTTAAAAAATAATCTAAATAAATCATAATATTTTGAAATATGATATATTGGTGAGGATTAGAATAATCTGTAATAAAATTTATTTTACCAAGGAAAGTTAATAAAGTCATAACCATTCAGGGGACAGTATATTAAAAATCTATTAAGAACAAATTTGAATATCTCCTACACTATTTTTTAGCAAATGTCACAATAAATTTGTATATCTCAAGGTCCTCTAGTCTTCAAAAACATTGTTTGAGTTATGAAATCAGAATACATATATAATGCTCTCTACAGTCATTGTTATTCAGGTATTTAACAAATTCAAAATGATAATTCTCCACTTAGTTTAAATGCATTCTTTAAAATGAAAGTTCTATTCCATAATATTATGAAGTGTTCAGAGGCACTGATGAACATTCAAATTCTTAATTTTTAACTGAGCACTATTTGAATTAAAAAAATTAACTTACATATATGCATACATATTTACATAAATCTGCACAATACCTTGCACACTTACAGACTGATACATATAGAACAAACAGCACTCATATACACACCAGGGAGAGAGGTCATCTGTCATCCCCTTCTATTGCTGCCTATATAAAAACACACACACACACAAGCAAAAATATCCACTCTAATGCCTAGGAAGTCAATGAATGCCACCACTTTTACTTAGAATAACAATGTCATTTGTTCATCTTTTAGAGCAGTAGGACATTTGAGTTAATTGGCAACAATGCATATGGTGATTTTATTTTATTCATTTATTTTTTTATCTTCACACAAGGATATGTTTATTGATTTTAAGGAGAGAGGGAGAGAGAGAAAGAGAGAAAGAAATGATGTGTGAGAGAAACATTGATGATTTGCTTCCCGTATGTACTCTGAACAGGGATCGAGTACACAATGTAGGAATGAGCCTTGACCCGGAGTGAAACCTGCAATCTTTTCTTGTACTGGACAACATTCACATCAGCTAAGCCACCCAGCCAGGGATGGATATGGTGATTTTAAATATATACTTCTTCATATTGTTGCATAAGAAGAAACATTCTTCTATAACCTATGATAGGAGATTTATAAGTAAATCTCCTAGTATTTATAAACTTTCATTGTCATATATTTATAATTTATATTCACCCTCCCCAAAATATATTATGTTTTTGCCTTCCCTGAAACAGAGAAAAATATACACTCTATTAATAACAGAACTTCAAAAATCATAATATATCTTTCTCTATCTTTGTACTTGTGGAAAAATTGCTCAGCTCTGGTTTTGCAGTATCTAGAACAAGTTACAGTGATTCTCATAATAAAAGTTAATATTGCCCTAAATGAATAATAACAATTTTAGCATCTTAGTTTGCAATTTGTTTAATTGCATAGGAAATAAAAAAGTTGAAGTGCAATTGATTTCACCAAGAAAAAATAATAAAATAATAAAGAGTTGGTGGCACAATATTTCAAAAAGCTGTAGGATCACCCCTCACCATTTCTTACAATATTGGCTTAACCGATCTCAGGAATGAATTTGTGTTTCTCAATAAAGTTTTTTAGATTCTTAAAGCATGTATTTGAGTACTGAAATCAGAATAAATAAATATATGTAAAAAGGTCTCTACAATCATCCTCTTATTTACACATTTGACAAATTCAGAATAACATCCCACATATATCTAAATGCTTACTTTAAAATGAGAGCTCAATTACATAATCTCATAAATGTTTAGAAGCACTGAGATTCATTAAAGTGAGTTCTTCTAAAATATTTCAAAACTTACAGAATGTATATAGCATCACTCTTACTACAGTGAACATCAAGATAAAGCAGATGAACCCCAGGATCCCAGCAATGAGCTTCTCTGGAGGCAATGGGGAATCCGCAGCAAGAGAAACCAGAAATAGAAACATCGTTTAGACAGTTTTCATGCATGAGAACCCATATGCACCAGGAATGATATAAATAAACTTGAACCCCCAAAACCAACTATACCAATGTAAACTTCCTCTCAGAATATGCCATTGTATCATCAGGAAATAAAATGCTCCATTAGTTGTTGATCAAATCCTACACCTTACGACAATGCCTGATTAAAATTAGTCCCCAGATTTCATATTACAATATGGTATTGCAACTTTAAGCCCTGATCCTCACAAATGAAAAAATAGGTGCACTATATCCCTACCCTTTCCCCCACAATTCTCCACACCAACCGTACATCCTACAGCAGTTACTCTGCTTGTCTATTCATGTTACCTTTGCAGTGGTCATTCTTATCATTACATTGAAGATCTTGAGAAGCATTTTGAATCTTTATTCCCATAGAGGATATTTGCTGTTCGGTTTGTAAAATGGAGCTTTTCATGCCCTTGTCTTTCCTTTGCTGTCTCCTGGAGTCCTTTGCCAGATTCAGTTCTGAGTCTTCTTCCTGTTGGAGATCCATCTCTGCAGCTGAGTAATGTCAGCGATGGTGCCTATGGTAACAGTGCTTCAGTGTTAACACACGAAGTGCGTAACGACAAGATCCCTAGGAGGGTCAAAGTGGGTGGAGAGTGAGATAAGAAACAGCGCTCACTTTGCACTTGACCAATGTGAAGTCTTGTTCTAATTTACTTAGAGATTCAAATAAGTGCTTCATGACTGAATAATAGCACTTAAAATGATATTCTATGTTTGACACAATATTATTGGTTGAAGCAATGAAAAGTAATAAGTTAATGAAGAATAAAGTGGTTCTGAATAATATCTTGACTAAAGTCAGATTCCACCATAACATTTAAACACTGTTAAAACAACTGTGAAAATTAAAATGCTGCATGGGAAAAAGTGGACCAATTTTAATGACAACTTTTAAATCCACTAAAGTTTAAAGATTGACTGTTCTAAAGTAGGGAATAATAGTATTAGCTTATAGAGTAATCAAGTGCAATAAAACCCAGTCACAATTACCAGGTAAAAGGACAGAAGAGGTGCTATCAAATATCTTATTTTGAATAATTGTAGAGTTCTGAGAAATCATTTAAATTTTAATCAAATATTTTATATGTTAAAAAATATTACATAACACACTTTAGTTATCCACAGCTTAATTAATAATAATGGCAATAGAGCATTAAAGAATTTTTAATACTCTTTACACAAGTAACTTGTAATTTATTTAATGGTTAAGATATGAAACCACAAAATGATAAATATGTAGGTCATTTATGGAAAGACACTGTTGGTAGAAAAGTCCAGAAATATCCCATGGGTCTCACATACTTTGAAGGTAGCTTTAATGCATAGTGAAATGTAATAAATCAGAAAATGTAATTTAACAATTCTGTCATTGGGCTCTGGGGCCGGTGAGATCTAGAATAAGTTCTGGCTTTGAAATTTCAATGCAAGACCTTTAAAAATATTTAGTGTGTAGCAACATAGTTTACTAATTAAAGTGGGAATAAAAATATATAAAATAGAATACATATAAAACACTTAATATTCAATCTGATATTTATAAGCTTTCCAAAGTTTCTTATTTTAATTCTCTTAAAACAATTGCCATGCTATTATTTTTTTACTTATATTAGAAAATATAACATGATTCTTGTGACAGAATTCTCTTATCAGTGTGGGATCTTTTTTGCAATATTTTCTTCATTTTCTAAAAAAATTTTTGCCAGGGTGCGAAAGACAAATACCATATGATCTCACCTATAAGCGGAACCTAACCAACAAAACAAAGATGCAAGGAAAATAAGACCAGCAACACTGAAAGAAAAAGAAACCAACAAAGACAAGAGGGAAGGAGGGAGGGGTGGGTGGGGGAAAAGGAAGGGAAGGGGAAAGTCAAGGAACATATAGCAAGGACTCATGAACAAAGCCAAAGTGAGGAAGGATTGAGCGAGGGAGAAGGGGGAGGAGGGCAGGGGAAAGTGGTGGGGGCGGGGGAAGGTGGAGACAAATGTATTGGGAAAAATAAATAAATTAATTAAAAAAAATTTTGCTTAATTATAATTAGGTAAATGAGCATTTTACAGAGGCTACTAAATCCTTATTTTTATTACAATTCAAGCTGATTTTATTTAATTGTGGTGCATATTTGGGGAGTTGTATTTGACTTTCATGATTTGATGAATTCATTTCAAGAATCTATTATAGTCTAGACTAAATGAAAAGTAGCATACATATGTAATTATATCTATTAATTACAAAACCTGAAGTTAACTGTTCCTTGTCTTGATCCTTTTAGCTTTTCATTTAAGTTATACTGATTTTCAAACCCAAATATGCATGTGTATATGCTCAACATTAATTTTTCATAGGAAAAATTTCAATATTTCAATGTATTCTCCAATGTATTTCACATTTTACTCTTTTTACCCTAAACTGTGCAAATAATGAACTGTTTCCTTTGATGTCATTGTATATTAATTGTACTTCATTAGTATCACATCAGCATTTGTAATTCCCCATTAAATGAATCATGTCAGTAGGAAGAGAGGAGAGAAGAGACACCTACCTCTGGAAGCCAGAAAGTTGTGCGACCTTTAGCGGGAGATCAGGTTACTTCTGTCCACAAACAATATCTGTGGTCCTCACAGACTGCCCCATTAAGACTGCAAGTGAAGAAAAATTTAAAAAGCGTAGATTTCTCATGATAGTGTCACTTAAAGTTTGAACAGGAAATCCTTACACTTGGGCAATTTTGAAGATGGTTTATCTCATCACACACCACCGGAATATAGGAGACTGTGAGCTTGTAGAGTGTCATTTAGTTTGTGAGCTGCTAAGTGCCTCTGAAAAATTATTTTCACATTCTCAAAGATTTCTGGGACAAAAACTTGACCACCCATGCTGTTAACTTACGTCCGTCTTAAAAATTACAAACACTGAACACTTAGGCCTTGTTAAGAATATCTTAGGTGTTTAAGTCCTAAATTTAGACAAGGTTGCTAAATTACTGGCATTATGTAAATTTACTTATGCTCTCATTCAGTCATCTTATTAAAATGGAAAAAACTAAAATCACAATCCCATTAACAATAGGTAATCAATGATATTTGCTACTAATATTCTGAAGAATGACATTTTCAACTTATAATAACTGTCATAAGTATTAACACTCAAACATTTTCTCAATCTCTCTGCTTTTGTTTTAAAATTTTGCTGTAATTAACTTTATTATTTTTATATTAGTAATTTATATTTCCTGTGGTTAAAATAAATGTCTGTGAAAGAGAAAACATTAAACAGCATTACATTATATCATAATGTAAGAGATTGAAATATTAAATTACTACTCATTATACAATTCATTATTTCATCCTCCATTCATAATTAGTTGTCTTTATATTTTTTAAATATATATATTATTGATTATGCTATTAGAGTTGTCTCAATTTTCCCCTCTTTATTCCCCTCCACCATGTACCCTCACTCTCACCACCATTCCCCCCACCCTAGTTCATGTCCAGGTCGTATGTATAAGTTCTTTGGCTTCTCCATTTCCTATACTATTCTTAACCTTCCCTTGTCTATTTTTTACCTACTATTTATGCTTCTTATTCCCTGTACTTTTTTCCGCCATTCTGATCTCCATTTCTGTGATTCTCTTCCTGTTCTGTTTGTTGGTTTAGTTTGTTTTAGTATTTGTTTTATTTGAGGTTCAGTTGTTGAGAGTTGTGAGTTTATCATTTTGCTGTTCATAGTTTTTGATCTTCTTTTTCTTAGATAAGTCTCTTTAATATTTCATAGAATAAGAGCTTAGTGATGATGAACTCCTTTAACTTTACCTTATCTGGGAAGTTGTATTTTAATAGAAATATTTGTTGTAAATGACAAAAACTCAAGTCTAACTATGTAGCAGAAAAACAAATGTAATTTTTAAAATTTTAATGTAACCAAAATGGTGTAGGGCAGAAAAAGTGGTCTTTGAAAAAAAACAAGTTTATTGATACATGAATACAAGAGGAAATAAAACATTAATTCTAGTGTGTATCAAATGGGATTTTTTCATCCTTCTCATATTATATCAAGAAAATAGGAAATGTTTATCTTTCATTGGCAAGTTAAGTTATGATTGGAAGTGCCATATGGTCCAGTGATTCCACTTCTGGGTGTGTACCCAAAGAAAATGACACAATTATCTTGACGAGATATCTGTACCCCAGTTCACTGAAGCATTATTCACCGTGATTAAGGTATGATAGCAATCCAAGTGTCTGCTAAAACACTTGGATGGATGGTTAAAAAAATGTTACACATACACATGCACACACACACACAGGATTGTTATTCAGCCTTGAGAAAAAGAAATTCCTCTCATTTGTGACCAGGTTGAACCTGAAGGCATTTTGCTTAGTGAAATGAGACAGAGAAAAGATTAATCCTGCATGGTCTCATTTATGTGTGAAATTAAAAAATAACAAGTTCATAGAATAATGGTTGCCAGGGGTGAAGTAGAGAAAGTAAGGAGAGGTTGGTAAATGAGTACAAACTTTCAGTTATAAGATGAATAATGTCTAAGAATCTAATGTATTACTTGGCAGCTATAGTCAATAACACTGTATTCCATAATTGAAATTTACTAAGAGATAGAACTTAAATGTTCTCACCAAAGGGGCAAAAGGTAATAAAATAAACCACATATTATGCAGTTTTAATTGATATGCAACCCTGCTGAATATGAGAAGTTCTAAAAGAAAATTCTACAAATTAATAGTTACAAAATTGTCATGGGGATGTAAAGCATAGGAAATATAGTCAATAATATTGAAATAACTATATATAATGCCAGGTGAGTACTAAACTTGTTTGGAAATTGCTTCATAAGTTATATAACTGTCTAACCACTATGCTGGACACCTGAAACAATATAGAATAATACTGACTGTCAACTATAATTGAAAGGTAAAAAAATAAAATAAAATTGCATTTGCAAAGATAAAAAGATATTCTGTAATATGGTTTTACCTCATTGTGTAAGTGCAATTTTTGAAAGCCCTGTGAACAATGCCATTATTTATTACCTTTTATATTCTGTAAATAATAGAGGTCAGACAATAATAGGATGAAAATTCAATCATAAAACCATTCACTTTGTAACACAAAATAACAGAGAAGCCAATGCAGACACTTTTCTTAAAGCTATGATATGCTCGTACACTTGGAAGGAGAAAGGTAGCAGAAGATTTTCTGTTTGGAGAAGATAATGCAAAATTACTTAAAGTTTTAAGCTTAGTTTTTGTGGCATGAACTTTCTAAAATTTACTTAACAAAACACAACAGAAATGTGTTATGGCATCAAAAATATTTCCATTACAGCATTTGAGAGAGAGAAACTACTATGCAACTGACGTTTTTACTTTGTGTACAGTTAACTTAGCTGCGTGAATTAGTCTAAAATGAGTTACCTGGGAAATATCCACTCAAAAGAAAATTATGTAGTCTTGGGTATGACAT